CGACGGGCGTCTTGCAGCGCAATGCTGAAGTCGAAGGCTTCGCTGCGTTCCTCGAAGCCCATGCCCAGTATTGCTTTTCTCCCCTCGCCTACGACGGTGATGGCGAAGAAGCGGCTGCTGTCCAATGCCTGTTCTACTGTCCTCTCACTTGTGTAGGGTGCTGCGGCGAACAGATCTCCCGTCTTGGGGTCCTCTAGCAGGAGGGTGGTTGTGACCTTCTCCTCCGCATCCTCGTTGCTTTGTTGCTCCTCATTGGACGGTATTGAGGTTTCGACGACGCGTAATCGGGCGGTGAAGATTTGGAGCTTGTTGTTGTCGGCTGTCCAGGTCGACGCTTGGTAGCCTTTGGTAGAGGTTGCGGGCGGGATTTGGTAGATGTGGACTTTCGGCGCGAGGTAGAGGATGCGTTGGATGGCGGTTGAAGGGAGGGGCTCGCCGGTTAGAGGATCGACGTTCATGATTGATGGACTATTGGGCTCTGCGGGGCCTTTGTGTTGTCAAGTTATGCTGTCTGGTAGGTGCGTAATGCTTTGCGACAGTTGTTGTGCTTTGGGCGTCCCCTGGATCTAGAAAGTTGGGGGAGCTATAATCTTAGCGGGGTAAGGCTTCCTTGAACTCTGCAAATCCCACGACGCTGGATCCTAAATGCCAATAACCTTCGAGGGCGCTCCGATTCAGGGTGGCTGTAATCTCAAACAGCGTTTGAAACGGGCGTGGTCGGAGGGATTGGAGGACATGATTGCCCTCGATTCTTCTCCAGTCGGTGATGCGTTGGCACTGCAGGGTCTCCGCGCTTTGGATGGAGAGACCCCGCCCATTCATATTCGTTGCGGGACATATGCAGCCCAGGTAAGGTGACCGCTTAGCGCTGCGGAACATGCGTTAGATCGCCTTAGTTTCCTCCATCTTTTGGGATGTGACGATACGCGATGCTTGTGCGGTCTGTAGCAGGCTTAGGTATAACCGTACATCCATCGTCACGCGCTCGGTTGCAGAGTAAGGCGACGAATCATCTCAATGGAAGTCTATTTTATTGTCATGAGATACGCATGGTTGGTCTATTTTTGAGGTCAACAGCAAACCGACTCTAGCCCGCCGTCCAAAAATATCGTGCACGAGTCAAGTATATACAGGAAGGAAATCGAAGACAAAAGCCGCGCCTAGATGTAGGTGTAGCAGAAAGGTCCGCCCATGGTGCTCATCGCATCAGCAACAGTGATGTTTCCGGGATAAGCGTATCCGAGATCCATGGAGTCGGTGAGCTTGGTCGCAGGGGCGGTGGGGTCACCGAGGGCGATAGTTCCGTAGATGGCGTTAGTCCTTTCCGCGGGGTTTACGTTCTGCCATGACCACCACACACGGTCGATCTGGGCGTGATGGAAGTAGAAGTATGGGTCACCTGTTCATTGTTAGCCCAGAACACTCGTGAACGGGGGCAGGGAATACATACCAGGAGAGGTGAAGAAATCAGAACCGGGGTCTCCGCCCACGGTGAAGTGACCAGCAGTGTGCACACCCATGAAGTTGTTGGAAAATGCGTTCTCACCACCTTGCATGTCGTACCAGAAGGTCTTCATGTCAGGGCTGTTCAGAAGTTTGACGACCATCTCATCGTTGGTCCACTGGCTGGAAGACCAGGAAGAAATGTCACGCTTCAGGCAGCGAGGGTTGTACGCGACTCCCGCATTGGGATCAGCGAAGTCAGCGATAGGGTTGGGAGGCGTGCAGAGTGAGTCGGTGAAGACAGGACCAAGGTTGACTGACCAATCCTTGAAAGGACCAGACGTCACACAGCCTCCGCCGGTGCCCTTGGGGATCTTGATCTTAATCTCGAGGTTGGATGGAATACCGTAGAACGTTTGGTTGCTGCAGCCTGCATCTCCATTACCGCCCATTGAGGTATCGGAGCCGTCTAGAACAGGGCTCTTCGTTGGGTCGTCAGCCCATCGTGGCCAATTGTAGTATGGCTGGTAGCCCTTGTAACCGCACTCGTCACGGAGAGTTTTCTCGTAGGCATAGGTAAAGTAGCGGTGCCATGGAAGGAAGTTGCCAGTGTTGTGGATGGCGAATGTTTGCTTGATGTGAGTAGCAACAAAGTCATCGTATCGGTTCCGGCAACCCGGGCACTCAGACGCGGGCGTCTTAGGGGGTAGCTTGGAGATACACTGAACAGCGTTGATGTAGTCTTTCTTCTCCGATTCAGTAAAAGTCACCCTGTGCATGTTAGCTAGCAGTAGAAAATTGAACTGCAACGGACTTACCATTCCTTGCGAACAATGATGTTCGTGGGGTTGCACTTCTTGAATTGGTCAGGCTTCTGCGTAGCCTGGAAGATCTGCTGATTGATGGCAGCAATACCCGCGTACACATCAGCTTGCAGGATCTTTGGTCCGGGGAGGTTTGGAGAGACATTCTGTCTCTTGTCGAATGAGACAGCCGGAGAGGCCTCTTCCAACGATGGAATAGCACTGGCTAGTGCTGCAGGTGCAAGCCAGAAGAGTGCAGCGGTACGCATGATGGCGTTTCGAACCGGTTAAAAATGGATGATCGACTGTCTTGAGGGGCTTGAAGGATGAAGACGATGGATTGACTGAAACGGTCGAAGACGTTGAATAAGGTTCCGGGTGAGCGGCCGTCTGAGCTAGCTACTACTGTATTAATATTAGGAGATGGGGGAGGCGTAGTCAAAATGTGGCGATGCCCTGGCTAAAGTTTGGAGGCCGCATGCGTGTTCAAATACTCGCAGGAGGTACCTTACCACTCGCCCCATCTAGTCTAATAACAGTCCAACATAACTGTGCCGTACCAAATCGTGCTGTCTACAGACCCATCAACTCGGTTTGTTGATTCCGGGTGGCCATTGAGTCAGTTGGGTGGCCCTTGGGCTTATGCCATACTGAAGTTTTATTCGCCCGGTATCCGGCAAGCGTTTGAAAGGGTTGGACAACCTCCTTTGTGCGCGATCTATTACCGAATAGGCATCTGGAAAATGCCGAGTTCGCCTCGAAGGATCCGATGAGGCGTTTCCTAAACTCCGCTACACGTGGGTTCGCATGAGTCTCGCCCCTAAATGTAAGTGGAAAGAAGATGTACGACCGGAATTGACACCTGTAACTGAATGCAAGATGCGTTAGCGGCTCAATTTGATTGGATGCTGGATTTTCGGGGTTCTCGGTTACGGGTTTATGAAGGTAGTCGAAGGATGCTGTAGGCGGCCTGGTGTAAGCGGCTGAACGAGGAGCATCTCGAGCCGTGTGGGCCGGCAAATTCATCCAAGATGGCTGTAGCTTTCCACAGAGGGAAGCGCACCGGCACGCAGGCAACTCCCGATAAGAGTGCCGACTGGATGTACCGACATCGTGTTGCTTTCCTTGAAGGGTTTTGCTTCTCGATCCGATGAAGGTGTTTGATCGCGGAAGAGAGCGAACACATCGCAGCGCGATCTTAGCAAGATCTTGATGCTTGACCATAGCCAAGTGCCACTTTATTTTACCCGGCCGCATCGTGCGAAGCCCGCTGTCCGGGTGCGGAACTCACGGGAAGAGCCCTAGGTTCATGGCGGATAACTGCTGTTTTGTGCTTATGGTCCGATGGAGAGCGCCAGATCGACCAGTCAATGGCTGGTATAGAAGCTCTGATCATCGCTCGTGCTTAGGCAGAACGCATTAAGGTGGCTAATAACAGTCTTGCTCGGAGACCCTGTCGATTTTGAGGAGTCTGGAGTTCTGGTGCTCCAGCTCTGAACGGGAGGGGAATAAGGTCCACGGGCCGCGAGAACACGCTATGGCCGGATAATTCCAGGGCACGCCGCGGAGGCGGCAGCGGCAGCGGCAGCGTGAACGTCTAGCGCCCGGCCGACCACCAATCCGTTTACTCATCTCACATGTTACCACCTACATCGTCTGCGGCAGGTCCGGACTTCGCTTACTCGACCTTGCTCGCGTGCCGCGACGCTCGCACTTTCATTACCAATGGCTTTGGTATGCGAAAAGCAAGCAGTACGCATTGACACGAAAATATCACACACCATTGTCCGACGTACTCAAACTGCGTCCCATTCGTGGCCAATGGGCAGAAGACAGCAATCACGGTCAGTCGTACAGGAACGTTGGGCAATATGGAAGGAAGAAGTCTGAGACTTCCCGATGACTAGGATGTGTTCGTTTACACAACGTGCAGCAGTCTCCATCTCCGTGCGTAAAACGACAATCGTCTTGACTAAAATCCATGACCAGGACGCCTGACAAATAGACCGAAGAGGAAAGTCGCTACGAACTTCAATAGTCCTTCAGTAAAACATCGCGTTCTCGTTCAGCCCGCGTTACTTCGATGCGCAGTAGGTGTACCTGCATAGCCTCCAACTCAGGCTATCCTCCGAGCAATATCTGTGAGAGGGCGGGCTTCGAAGTCCGTCTTCCTATAGAAGCATTGATCATCCCGACTCCATATTTTCCTTGTCAACGATCGTGGCTTTAACCATGAATGACTGAGTGGACGGTACGGACCGCCCGCGACGTTGCGTGGTGGACAGGAAGACTGTGTCATCAAAACGTTCCGCGCAGAAGGCTTTTGTATGAGGAACCCTTCGCGCGTGCTACCACATTTATCTTGAAGCCGAAGACGTAGCAGTTGCGCGGCACATCGAAGGATGAAGGATTAAAATTCGTACTCACAGAGCCGCTGGTCGTCACGAGAGTGGTCAGTTTGCCATGAGAAACGCCATTCCGGCTATTCGCAAGCTGCACGATCCTGCCGAGCCGCCATGTCGACATTGAAGTGGCGGCCCATGCATGTACGACGAGCTGTTACTGGCCTAAACCAGGACTGTTTGAGATGTATGTTCGCTTGTGTGCGGTTCGGGTTTACACAGTGTGCATGTGCCTAAGTGCTACTCTGGAGAAGCCCGCAGGAAGCGCTGCTGAGCAATACTCTAATAGTCTGGGGACCTACTTCCAAGACATACGATCTTGCCATCACTTCCAATCCGCGCAACCACCAACATGGAGTATCACGCTATTGTTGCGAGACAGGCTGAGGGCTTACCCGTGATGCCAGCGCGATCACCAGAGTACATGGCCGAGAATCAAGCTGGACGCTTGATGGCGGTGGAAGGTTCGTTGTTCGCGCTGTCGACGAGCGCTATACTCTTGCGATTCTATGTGCGGCTCTTCATGCTAAAGACATTTGGCTGGGATGGTATGCATGATCCATTCGCATTTGTATCAAACAGAACTGACTGAAACAGACGCTATGATGGCGATTGCATTGGTGAGTCGCCATGCTCATACATGAACTTGCTCGAAGGGAGCTGGTTGCTAATCGTCACTTCACAGGCTCTAAGCTCCACCACCCTGGGCTTATTCCTGAAGGTCATTGACCTGGGACTTGGACTACATGCTGAAGCCTTTCCACCCGAGAACGTATTATCCTTCTTCAAAGTTATGTACTTCTACTCGATCTTCATCATCGCTGCATACAGCTTCATCAAGCTTTCAATCGGATTCTTCTTGTTACGGCTCGCGGACCGAACAAAGTGGCGTCCATTTCTCATTGCCATGTTGAGTAAGTCTGAATGAGCTACGTGGTAAGAGATAAGCAGCTAACATGCGATCAGTCTTCATTGGTGTGTTCACCATTGGTTCGACATTCGCCATCATCTTCCAGTGCATTCCGGTACAAGCGGGATGGGACTTCAACATGCGTCCGCCGACAGGGTAAGCTCTTCACTCACTTCCAGTAACATTTGAGAACAGCGCTAACGTGTCTTTAGAACTGCGAAATGCTACGATTCTGGTATCTTCAAAAACGTCGGCGTCTTCAACTCTTCAGTCAACATCGCCACTGATCTGCTGTTCGCCCTCATCCCCATCCCGATGGTGTGGAAGCTACAAGTTACGATCCAAACGCGCATAGGTCTGGCAGTCATCTTAAGCTTGGGTCTCTTCGCCTCTGCAGTGGCCATCTACAAGACGCCAATGCAGTACAACTTCTTCAAGATAACCGACTGGTCCGGCGATGGAGCATGGTACTACATCTGGCAACAGTACACACTTCCTCTTTCCTGCCTACATTCCACTTCGACTAACACTCTTACAGAGTCGAGATGCACGTAGGCATCATCGCCGCATGCCTCCCAACCATGAAGCCCCTCTTCGCGAACTTCTTCGGCCAAATGCGTTCTCTCGCCACCAAAGGTCGCACCACTGGCAACAGTACACCTTTCCGCTCCAATGGGTACATGAAACACGATGACATGCGTCCCAGTAACGCATACGCCATGAGGAACATGTCTGGAGGCTCACAGTCGACGGCACGGGATCCGTACTCCGAGGATACCGTGCTGGGCAAGGACACGTATACCTGCGAGGCTTCACGAGGAAGAGCCTTGAGTAGGCCCAAGAGTCTCGCGGGCGAGAGCGACGATAGTATCTTGGAGCATGAGGTCAATACCGGAGAGAGGCGCAGTGTGCTTCCTAGAGGTATGACTATCGTGAGGACTACTGAGGTCAACATTTCCAGATAGTGTGGGTATGTGAGTTGTAGGGACGCAGCTGAGGTCGTTGCTGCTGCATGGCGTTACGAGAGATACCCTGGTAAAAGCACTGACGGTCGCGCAATGTTTGTATGAGTATGGAATAACGGTTATTTGGTATGTAGCACATCTGCTTGGATAAGCACTTTCATAAGATTCTAGTCTATCGTGTAGTCGTGTCTATGGTCTTTCTATGTCGTCCAACCTTTTCGTCTATGATAATCCTAAGGGATCTAATCCATCTTCACATGGATTCGTCCGCGCCGCAGCCACTGCCGTGCGCACATCATCAGGAGGATTCGGTGTCTACTGCGCCGCAGCATAGACGGACCCAATTCCCAGTTTGTTGGGTGGATCTTCGCGAAATTTCCGAGCTTCCACTTATTTCGCCGTCTGAACGTCGATTCCAGCAGCGCCGCTCTTGTACGCCTCGTAGCCTTCCTTGGCGGCCGCCTGGACAGTGGTCTTTCCCTCAACGATGCTCTTGCACTTGGCCAGGATGTTGGACCAATCCTCGAAGACTGTGAATGGCACATCCTCGCGCGCGCAGTAGCTGATCAGGTCGTGACCCTTCTTGGCGAAGAGCAAGTCAGTCTCGCGGGCTGCAGAGAGATCGGATACACCGTCACCGGCGTAGAACATTGTTGGTCGGAGGTTCTCGGGTAGGCTCGAGTACTTTCGCAGTTCAATAGACTTGTCGTGGCCAAAGCCAGACTCAGGGTGCTTGAACAGGATCTGCCATCCACCCTCCTCGTTGATGTTCTTGCCTTCCCGTGCGCCGACGTGGTTGCCCAGGACTTGCATCTTGCTTGCATCTGGTCCAACCAGCTTCTCCAAGAGCGCCTTGATGACTGGCTCCATGCCCGAGCTCAGCACTACGACTGGGATGTTGTTCTCCAGCGACCATTCGAAGAAGCCCTTGAAGCCAGGGTCCAGCTTGATGTTGTCGACGAGGTACTGGATACATTGGTCGTAGGGCTTTGTGACGCTGTCCATCATGTCGCGGAAGGAGTCGCGGAAGGAGATTTCGTTGTTGAGGCACGCGATGTTTCCCGCGCGGCGCTTGTCGCGGCCGTAGCCAATGTTGTCGGTCATGAAGTCATTAGAGTCTTGGAGGGTGATTGTGCCGTCGAAGTCGGTGAAGAAGATGAACTGTGCTTGTTAGTTGAGATGTACCAATCGTGTCAAAAGGGTTATACCTTGGGGTCACTCTTCATGGCAGGCAATTGTGCCAGATCGATCTGTGCTGAACCCATGTTGGAATACTAAACGAGCGACTACGGTGCTGGTTTACGGTGGAGGTGTGAATGTAGGAGTGAGAAGCACCCCGCCAGATATCAACACCATCTAAAAGATTAGGCCAGAGGCGCTAGGAAACCCTTAATCGGAATGCCGGCAGTCTGCAAATAAGGGACGGGTTGCTAGAGCTGAGAGGGCCAGTCACCGTCATGCCGCAACCCCACGCGCCTTGGCACGTCAGCGCTCGCTGCGACGCCGCCCGCCCGCTTCGGGGGTCCGCATTTTGGCGCATTTTCGTCATTCGTCATCCAGCTCAGGCGCTCTCCATGTGAGGGCAGAGACAAGAATGAGGCCACTGCTTCAGCATGCTTCACGCTCGCTTATCGCCAGTACGGTAGCTCCTTCTTCGCGTTCTTTCAGCAATGTCGCTCGCAGCGCATCGTCGGTATGCTGGAGTTATAGGTATCGCACAGCTTCTGGTGCGCAGAGGTGGGATGGAAGGACACAATTGAGCGCCAACGTATCCGCGAATCGGTCGCGGCGTGCCTTTACAAGCTCGACAAGATGGATGGAAGAAGGGAAACCGCCCAAGTCGTCGGATCCTATCGCAATGCCACCGCCCGCACACGACGCGAATCCTATCCAGCAACCTCCAACCAAGCTATCAGCATCCACACCATCGCCAGAAGATCAGGAGCGGCTAGAGCGAAGACTCAACGCTCTGCTAGAGGATCAGAAAGCTATCAAGAGAGCAGCCGAGACTTCGGTGGCTGCATTGACGGATACCCCCGTCCCCGAGGTTAAAGAACCACCTCCACAAGAGCCGGAACCACCCAAGAAGGACGAGTCCCTGGACAACATTGCTCGCGTGCCGGATGAACACCTGCCTTCGCACCAAGAGAAGCAGAGATGGAGTCTTTCCAAGCGCTTCTCCGAGGCCATGGATGAGCTGCTGCCGAAGCTTGCTGTGGTCACGCAAAAGGTCAACACATACACTGGCACCGACTACTCTGGGGTAGAGGCACTCAGGAGGGAGATCAAGGAGCAAGGTACATACACAAATCGCCTACTATGACGATGCGACAGCTGACACCACACAGAGAAACTCGTCAAAGCCCGCCGCTCAGCCATTGATTCCGCCAAACAAGCCCTCGACACCGCCCTTGCCCACCAAGCTACCTCGCAGAAAGAAGTCGTCGCTCTCCTTGAACGCAAGCATTCCTGGTCAAACGGCGATCTCGAACGCTACATGGCTCTCATCCGCTCCGAACACATCAACGACCAAGCCGTTCGCGAAGCCAAAGACGCCGTCGCAAACGCCGAGAACGCTTTGGAGGATGCGCGAGCACAGCTAGAGAAGAGGGAACGTGCACAATACCATGAAGAGCAAATATGGAGTGATACTATCCGAAGGAACAGCACATGGGTTACGTTTGGCCTCATGGGTGTCAACATCTTCCTGTTGTTATTGAGTCTGGCCATCTTGGAGCCCTGGCGGAGGAGGAGGATGGTCAGGGAGATCAAGAATACGTTGGAGGCACACCAAAAGCTTGCTATGGATGCCGCCGCACCATCGGTCGGTGCTGCAGCAGTCGCACCCGCGTCAGCCTCCCGAGGTCTGACGGCGATTGAAGAGGAGATCGACCGGGTCGTTGATCATACCGATGCACCTGCAAAAGTCTCGGCGCCTGTAGTATCTGAGGTTATTGAGGAGTCGCCAACAGCTGGCAACATTGGATCGCCAGTCGAAGCGGATCTTATCCCAGAGGTCGTCCCTGAGGCAGCTGTTGACCCACTGCCTACCTCTGCAGTTCCGGAAGCCGAGACTATCACCCCGGAAGAAGAAGCTCTAACACCCGAGGAACGCATAGCTGTCGCTGAAGAAAGCGCACCATCTCACGCCGCTCCTCGCTCCAAACTGGAAAGCTTGCAGCAAAAGGCGAGCTTCATAGCACACGACATTGTGAGCGATCGCGTTATTTCGATGCGACGAATCGACTACACGAGCGCTATTCTTCAGGGTGCTGCGGCGGGAGCTGTTATCACGGCGAGTATAATCGCTATGCTGAGACAGAACTAAGGGTCTGCGTTTTGTACGAATAGACACATGTATCAAAAATGTATATAATTCATCTTGTGGGGTATTGCTACCTGCTTGATCGCTTTGTAGCCGTACCGTTCCATCCTTTCTGTCGAGATCCTTTCGAAGATGTACCTATTGTTCCAAGAACTTGCTAGTGAGATGGAGAGCGGTGTATGCCTGTGAGCTCCATTCTTGGACTACAGGGTTACCTATTCAGGTTATAATATCGAGAGGAGAGATGGTTCCTTTGCTGAGCCCGAGCTTGCCTATTCAATTACGTATAGAGTATACGTGGGCTGAGTCGAGACGCCTTCTACCAGAGGGATACGGCCGACGATAGTGAGTATACGTATCGCTCGCACTGCAGCTGTCGGAAGCCGTGTGTATTACCAAGTATGCGGCGTGATATCGCATCTTCCCTCCTGAGCCCAGTACGCTTTCGCTGGGAGGGTCATAGGTGGTTATGCCCAGTACGGAGGCACAGACAAGGTGCGTCGCCGAGCATGCAGGGGCGTGCAATGATGGTACCCGCTATCCAGTAGGCTCGACATAGTAGATGGGAGAAGCATGACGAAGATGCGGCATGCGCCTACTCGCTCATGTCCTCGCTCTCATTTCCGTCGTCTACTCTGGCAAGCACTTCGCTCTCACGCTGTCTCTCTTTATCCGCGGCCTTCTCTACACTTTGTAGCATCGGCAGCTCTCCAGCACCATCCCACGCTCTTGCTCTCTTGATGATATGTTGTGACTGTCGGATAACCTCCTCTTCCGCTTTCTTGATCGTGCCGCTAACCCTTACGACTCTGATTACGACAGGTGTATCGAGGGGTTTGGGGAGGTGGGTAATGTATGTGAGGGCTGCCCAGACCATTTCGTAGTGGTCTCGCGGACATCGTATTATGGCCGTGCTTGTCGAGGGGGAGTAGTAGTTGACTGCTATTCGTTAGTAAGGCGATTATGAGGCTCAGAGGATTGCGCACCTTTCAGACCCGAAGAAACCATACCCGAACCATAGTCGCCGAATAAGTCTTCGACTCCATCTCGTATCATGCGTACAATGACGCCCTGTTTGAGAGCATCAGGCGTTGGCGAGTAAGTCTGGATGACATCTGGGAGTTGCGTCTTGCTCTTGGCGGGAGGCTCTGGATATAGGAAGTTGACCACCAGGTAGCGATTCTTGACGCGAACCATCTTGCGTGAAAGTTATATCCTAGCTGTCTGTGTAACCGTGCTGTATGCGCGCGCCGAGCAGTGTGGGGTGTCGAGGTGCAGCGCAAACGGAATCACCCAAATAAAAAAGTGACAGGCAGATCCTTGACGCGACGCGATCGCAACCACCACAATTGAAAGGAGAGCAGTCCTCGCAATTGGTACTCGCGACAATTCTCTCGCACGCGCAAGCAGACGCCAAAGCGACTAAAATCACAAGCAACGCCCCATTCAGTCAATCTCCATCGCAAGCGCGATCCACGCATTAGCGCATCAGGCGTGAACCGGCTTGGCTATGACGCACATGGCTAGAGGCAGCATCCCCAGCTTTAGTGGCTCTCCTTCCGCAGCTGCACCCTCACAGCCAACGGCTACTATCACCACTCAAGGCCCACTCCATCACAACGACCTAGTCTCACGAGGCCTCATCGCCCTTTCGAAAGCCCCTTCCAACCCCAAG